ATGAAGGTCTGAAGCTTGTCCATATGCTACCACCTGGGAACCAGGAAGAGAATTGCTCCTTTTTTCTACCAGAATCTGATCATCCCAGGAAATCAACATGGCCCCATGGGGACAACACGACAAGGAATGAGGCCCACACACAGCAATCAGGGCTAAGTGGAGGAGCAAGAACCATCATTCTTAACTCTGTTCCTGCCCCAGACTCAGATCTCCCTCCCTGGTACTTGAGGAGCCCTGAGAGGTACTCCACCCTCCTCCTCCTCCCCCCTCTGCTGCCCTGGTCTGGGCTAGCTGAGGTTCCCATAAGCCTCTGCAGGGGCCCAGGATACCTCATGCCCCACCCAACAGCCTCCTTCCGGGGCTTCCTATAAACTCACCCAGAAGGAAGTTGAGGGACTGCTCCCCCACACTCTGAGCAGGGGCCACCAAGCAATTCCCAACCATTCTTGACCACCAGCAATATTCTCCTCCACTAGAAACTGTGCGTTTTTGCTCCCAGCACTAAAAGTAGACAAAAAGCTGGGGTGGGGGCGGCTAAGGTGTACACTAGCCTAGCTGGAGAAATGATGCTCGAGGCCTCACCTCAGGACTTTTGCCTGTTCTGGGCCCCAGCCTGGAACACTGCTCTCCTCTACCTATGGGACCTTCCACTATTTCTAGAGGCCCTTCTTGAATCTCCCTACACCATTCTCTCTCCTGCTCTGTCCCTTTCCCGTGGCACTCCACCGGACTGCTGTTGAGCGCTCCATGTCTGCCTCTCTCTGTCTGTCTTCCTTTTCAACCTGAGCGGTCTGAGGAGGCTGGGAGTTGGTGTGGACCCTCAATAGCATCAGATGTGTTGCTCACTGGCTCTTTCCAGGCTTCTCACTCCAGCTCTTGGGGACTCTATGACTGATCTTTCTCCTCAACCGTCCACAGAGCCTCTTAGGGGTTTTCAGGACCAAAGTTCCTCTTGTTCCCATTCCTCTTTCTCCTTAACGCTGGGCTTCCACGGACCTGAAACACCATGTATAAGCATTTATCACAAGTAGAGACTCCTCGCCTGAGCCTCAGAGAACCTGTTCCACTGCTTACTCTGTGGTACTGCCCAGGTGTCCTGAGCACCGCCCCACACACCCCGATTTAGCCTTGCCCAGGCCAGAATGGCTGAAAGCCATTCACCTGCCTCCAGGCTGCCTATGGGCAAACCCTGACTCTGACACTATCCCACTGTGTGGACCTTGGCCAGCTACTTAACCTCTCTGTACCTAGACATCTCATCTGTGAAATGAGACCATGCACATGAGCTTGGAGAGGGATCAGAAGAGCTCACAGAGCAAAAGCACCCTGGAATGGTCCTGAAGCCGAGTAATGTGATGTAAATACATTCTGTAACTATCCCTGGAGTTTCTTCCAGTGAAGTGCCAAGGCTGGGTATAACCACATGCCCCTCAATATCTATCCTGTGTCCTCCCTCTCTTCTCCATGGTATCCTAAACACTTGGTCTCTAGCATTTCGTGCTCCTCCTTTCTCTTGTCTCCTCTTCCCTGGGGAGCTTTCCCTGTGCCAATCAGAGAACCACAGAGCCCTATATTGATTTCTTACCTGTGCTTTAAAAATCACCACCACTTAGCAGCTTGGAACAACACTCGATAACCCACAGTCTCCCTGATCAAGTAGCTTGGGCCTGGCCGAGCTGAGCCTGCAGCTCAGGGCAGTAATCCAAGCTCACCTGGGCTTTGTGATCTCTGCTCATTGAAGGAATTTGGCTTCCTGTGGCTGTAGGCTTGAAGTCTTGGCTTTATGGAAGGTTAGCCCTAACTTCAGTTCTGAGGGTCACCGCCACTGGGCTTGTAGACAAGCCCAGACACAGGGTCATTTACAGAGTCTTCATCTCTATAGCAACTCACATATTCAAAGCCACTGGAGGAAACTCTTCAAGAAGGTCCCGGTCTCTCTTTTAGGCTTTTCTTGTCTAATTAGATTGGCAGGACAATTTTCCTTTAGTGCCACTTAAAATCAACACATGCAAGGTATTAGTTATGTTGACAAAATTTCTTCCCTTTTTCTAAGTCAACCTAATTACAACATGAAATCTCATTGTACTCCTAAGTTCTGTCCATACTCAATGGCAAATGGACATAAGGGTACAGGAATCTCAGAGGTTGTATTAATTCATTTTGTTGCTATAACAAAACACCCAAGGTAGGATAACTTTATAAAGAAATGAGGTTTATGTAACTTAGTTTGGGGAAGTTGAAGGGCACTGGAGCAGTATAGCTCAGTCAGGGTCTGGCCTCTCTTGGCCGTATTATTTCATGGTAGAACTTTGATCAGCCCATGAAATAGGAAGCTAGTAAGACACTGGGTTCCTCAAGTTATTTCTGGAGGCACAACTCCTAGGAATGACTAATAGCCTAACTCTTAAAGGCTCCAGACCATCTCCAGCACTGCCACCGTAAGGGCTGAGTTTCCAGCATGTGAACCTGAAGCCACACCACATGCAGACACAGCAAGGCCCATCAGTATTCCGCCCATCACAAGGGGATTTCCATCCCTGACACATGGATGATGCCCAGAAGTGATTTTTCTGGAGGACTGAATGGGTGAGCAGGGAACAAAATGGAGTCAGACCATTCTGGAAGCTGACCTTCTGGAAGCTAATCAGCTCCTTCATAGAAGAGTCCTTCAGAGGTCCTTCATCTGGACATCACCATACACCCCCCTGTTTCTCAGGAATGATGAGGTGGGTATGTGGCTATCACTTGAGGGTAGACCCCCCCCCCATGGGTTCCAGTTGCCCCCAACCTGTACTGCCCCAAAGTCTCCTCTCCCTGGCATGGTATGAGCTCAGTGGTGTCCTTCTGCCCCCAGGCTGGCACAGTATCCCACCAGAGCCAGTGAAGGATCCCAGGAGACACCTTGACTTTGAGCAGGAATCAGGCTGTGGGCACTGAGCTGGAAAGAGTCGCTGTCTGAGAGGCCCATGGCATCCTTTATTTATTTGCATTGAAATATTAATCGAGACGAGCAGCATCCATGAGAGAGATGTCAGCTGAGCAGGCAGGCCTGAGGGGGGGAGGGATTTGGGTGGCTTTTCTCTCCTAGGTCTGGCATGGGCACACAGTAAAGACCTTACCTGAAATGGGCCCCTACTGAGGGCCACGACCTGTGTGTAGATTCCCAATGACTCCCTGTTCTTTGAGAAGGAAAAGACAGAGAATCAGGACAGAGAAAATAGTGTCTATGGATTGCCTACTGTATGCTGGACAGTGTTTATTTATGACCTCACCTAAGTCTCAAAGCAAGGCTGTACTGTGGGTGACAGACCCACATATCCTGTGCAGATGAAGAATTAAGTAATCTGCCAAATGTCACTTGGTGTTTCAATTAAGTTCAAGGTCTTTTGACCATACCATTCCTACTGTGCGCTGAGCTGAGAAATTATTATAACTTCCAACATTGTGGGTGTTTGAGGGCAGGACACAGAGCTGGGGTGGAAGACAGAGGAAGAGGCTGAAGGGAGATGACCCCTGCCATCCCAGACCTCATTCACTGAGCCTTTTCTGGGCACAGCACTCAAGCCTCCAAGATCCCTATAGAATTCTTATGGAGGAAATGAATGACCTGGCCAGGATTTAGGGGCATGAAGCATCAGGCTAGGCTCTGAGCCCAAGCTTTCTGCCTATCCATGGTGTACTTTGGTTCATGATGACAGTGTTGAATATCTCTGGAGAAGATAGAGCTTGGCCCAGGCCAAGGATCATGGGGCAGCCATACAACCCACATCTCAGAGTAGTCCTTTGCCTCCACTCCATCTGCTATCCAGGATTCTTTACCTGCTGCCTTTGTCTTCCCTCCATGTTCCTTGGTAAACCTTGAGTGCAGAATTCTGGGAAGCCCTAAAAGAATCGTGTAGGCTACTGGTCATGTTCCTTCCACCCTCAGAGCCTTGGCACCAGGTCTGGATCCAGAGCCTTCAGGACAGCAGTGTGGGTAGAGAATTGTCACCCAGGGGACAAACAACAGATATTAAAAAGCCCAGAGGAGAAAGGCCACAAATACCTATTCAGAGAGATGGCCTCATCAGAAAAGAAGTCTTACTCATATGCATGTACCTGCCTTTATTTTTTAATTAAGGAAAGGTATCATGGGGCTAGGCATAGTAGTTCACTCCTGTAATCCCATCTCCAGAGGCATAGGTAGGAGGATCCAAAGTATAAAAGGGCTGTGGGTGTGACTCAAGTGGCAGAGCATTTGCAGGAGCAAGGCAAATTCCATTACCACAAATAGAAAGGGCAGGGAGGAGAAAAAGGTATCGAAATATTAAATGTTGTAAAACTCAAATGATTTGATAAGGTTGGCAAAGAGCAGGAGCCCTCTACCCCCAGTTCTTTCAACATCTATGATCCTTGCTCCTTAAAAACAAATTCATTTTCCATTTGGGAAGCCCTTCTACTAATGGCTACATTTCGCTGTAAGATTTGTTAATGATTTAAATGTAATGGCTTTAAGGGATACAATTTAATTATGGTTTTTGTGCATATTTTTGGAAAATGTTAACAACTTGACCATGACTGAGAAGAGATCATAGATTGTCTGTGATGAGCACTCAGCCCCTATACCACAGGAGAGGGGAGGAAAAAATGGTGACTCAGTCCCTCTCCTCCAGGTGATTCCATGCCTAGTGTGTAGTTACAACACAGCAAATCGTGTTCTTTTTGCACAGCTCAGCAAATTCTCTTTGGATTTTGTTGGAAATTTACTGTCCATGTATTTGTGAATCTATTAATATTCTATGTCCTCTTTAATTCATCTGTTTGTCTGTCTCAACAGCAGTACCCCAAGATATTGATTACTGCATTGAACATCGACATTAGATGGTATTCATCTCCCAACTATCTTTATTTTCAAAAGTATTTTTGCTCGTCCAGGTCTTTGGCATGCCTATATTAACATTTTAAAATTTTCATTGTTATGGTAGTGCAGTCTCATGATATTGCTTCCCAACATTAAAATTTGTTGTAGACATTCTGAGCAACTTCAATGACATTGATTGTCCTTAAGGATTATATTGTGGCACTATTATTACCAGCTTTACCTAAATTTTTGCATAAACACATTCAGATTAATAGATTCACTGATTGGCTTGTGTTGTGTTTTCAGTGCATGAATCTTTATCTTAACATATTTTGTATGTTTAATTTTTAGTTATTCATTGATAGGAATACAACTGGTTTTCATATATTGACTGATTTATCTCAGATGCTACAACCTAGTTTTAGTCATTAATTTTGATGTATTATTGTCAGTGTAATACATTTTTACATAGACAATTACATTAATTAGTGAATAAAGAGAATTTTCTTTCTTCCTTTCTAAGCTGGATGATTTTTAGTTGTTTTACTTGCCTTATCAAATTCACTAGACATCTTAAACAATATTAAATACAAATATGGGAAGTGGACAGATTTTTGATTTGATCTTCAGAGAAAAGCAATTAATATTTCACTATTCTGTGTCTGCTATAAGTTTCATATATATATATATATATATATATATGCTTCATATATATATATATTCCCCTTATTAAGTTGAGAAAGATTTTCTCTATTCCTAGTTTGTGTGTGTATATCTGTGTATTTAAATCAGGATCAATGTATTATCTTAAATATATACATTGAGGTACTCTACTTTTATTGCTAATAAAGTTCAACTTTTGTTATTAATAAAATTTATCATGACTTGTATTTATTGGTTCTCAAATGTTAAGCCAACCTTGCATTCCTGGGGAAAATCTCATTTGATTACAATCTCAAGGTATTTCATTTAGTTCTACATTGCCTTGTATTCAGCTTTTGTTCATGCTTCATTTGGATGTGATTTATTTCTTTAATTTTTTTCTAAATTCTTAAGACAGAAGCTGATTGTTGATTTGAGAGCATTATTCCTTTTAGTGTATTATTCCTTTTAGTGTATGTTTCCCCATACAGTGTTTGAGATGATCATACATTTTATATGTTCTTTTTCATTTGCATTCATTTCAGAAAATGTTTTGAACTTTCCTTTGATTTTCTTTTGACCTGTGGTTAATTTAGAAGTGTCCTTATTTTGTTTCCAGATACCGGGTGTTTTCCAGATGCTTTTCTGTTATTGAGGTAGTTTGTCACTCCATGTGGTCACAAGACACAGTTTAAGTCTTTTGGGAGGAACAGTACTGAGGGTTGAACCCAAGGCCTCGGGCTTGGTAGGCACTTTGAGGTATGCCTCCAGCTATTTTGAGTCTTTTTAAATATACGGAGACATGCCTAGTGTCCCCAGTGATGTGTCTATCTCTGTAAATTACCCAGGCTCAGTTGTTAAGAAGGTGTGTTCTGTGGTTTTGGGATAAAGTGTTCTACAAATCAAGATGATCACCATAATTTTATACATCTTATTTAGCTTTTCTGACTTTTCTGTCTACTATCAATTACATCAATTTCCTATCATTATAAATGGTTCGATCACTTTTTGCTGATTGCTCCACCAGGAGACAAAGGGTCTGAGGATAAGAATCTGAGAGTGTCCCTGGCTGGACTCTGCAGAAGGCAGTCAGGAGGACCAGACAGTGCCAGAGGGAGAAATTCACTCATCCATCTATACAACAATACTTATTGAGCACCTACTATGTATAAATCCCAGCCCATGTGGCTGAGGCAGAGTGAATGAGGTGGGCTGTGGGTGAGGAATTTAGACTCAGAGGGGATATGTCACTGGTGGACACCCCTGCCTCGGAAGCAGCCATGGGGAACCCTGGAAGGTGTCTGAGCAGAGGTGTGGCCTGGTTGGACTTGAGCTGCTCTGCTATTGCTTCTGTATCCACTTCCCATAATACCAAGTGGGCTCAGCCTGCACAGGTGTGCTCTCTGACAGTTCAGGAGGCCAGAGGGAAAGTCAGTTGGTTTTGCTGGGCTGAAGACCAGGTGTCTCAGGCTGGATCCTCGATGGGTTGTCACCTTTTCTGGGTTTTGGAAGCTGTTGGCATCCCTTGGCTTGGGGCTCCTCCCCATGTCCCTTTGCCTCAGCTCTGCTGGCTTCTGCGGACACCTGGACTTCTTCTTCGATGAGAGTACCCTCCCTTTCCCCTGTAAGATGCTTGTGGTGATGTCAGAGGGCCACCCGGATAATTCCATCATGCCCACAAGGCCTCTCTTCACTCTAAGGTTGTCTACTCCCAGGGCCTGACTCTAAGTTATATATTCGGGGGGGGGGGGAGGACACCAGGCAACCCCAAGTAGAGAAAAGCCTGGTCCTGAGTGTCTCCCAGAGGCCAGGACCTACCATAAACTCCACTCTGGGGTGGCACCTTCTCCCAGGCCTCCCCTGGTGTCCCAGCCCCTCTCTGAGACCCTTCAGAGCAGGACGTATGCTGGGAATCGGTTTATGATGCTAGTATAAACAAGCCTCTTTCTGCTAGCCTCAGCTTCTTGATTCAGCCTACCTGGGAAGCACTGTTGAAGTCAGAGGATCTGTCCTGCATCCTGCTGCCCACCTCTGCTCTCTATCTGCTCTGCCACATGCACCTTGTTGATATTTCTTAAGCACTGGAAGCAGTACATACCTCAGGTCTTTCGATCTGGCTGCACTGGGTTTGCCACATTTTCCCAGATTCTGACATGGCTAAGCCTCTCCTTTTCCTCATTTCTTTGTTTAAATGTCTTCTTCTCAAAGATGCCTTCACAGTCCTCCCCATCCCTACCTCCACAGTCCCCTTACGTCCACCAGATTTCGTATCACTGTTTGTTTTTACTGACAAGACCTTGGGAAGAAACAGAGGCACCGTCGCTGAGATTTTGAAAGCACTGACAGGCCCAGCCCCATAGGCAGGGGCCATGAGGGAGGGAGAGAGGCCTAGGGAGCAGGATCAGTGGGAAGCATCCTTAGACTTGAAAAAGACTTGGCAGCCCGGTGATGCTGTTGTACTCAAAGTATCCAGGCATGATGGCAGAGACTGAAACAGGAAAAGGGCCAGGAAGGAAAAGGCCACACCCCTTCCCCTTCCTCCACTCAAGGCCAGTTCTCCAGCCACTGCCTCCTACTGGCCAAACCTCTCCACAGCAGAGTTACCTGTAGCCCACAGGACTCAGCCTGGCAAGGCACAGACCCTGACAGAGGAGTTCTGATGGCAAGGGAGAAGCTGATAACTAGCTATGCGTTTCCATTTGTTGTTGTTACTGCTTTGGGCAGTGTGGGGTTTGAACTCAAGACCTCTCACTTGCTTGACAAGTGCTCTAACCAGTTGAGCCATGCCCTCAAGTCCTTCTGGCTTTTAAATATGTTTGAGAGCAAATCTTAACCTTTTTGCCCAGATCATAGTCCTCCTACTTCTGCTTCAAGAATAGCTGGAATTGTAAGAATGCACCATCATACTCAATGTTTTGTTGTTTCAATGTTTTGAATGGCTGGTTTCCCATCTGGTTTAGGACCCCCACAAGGACAAACACTTTGTCCCCCAGTACTGTGATTGTCACCTGGTTTGCAGCAAGGAGCCCCACAAATGATAGTTAGCATGTGAAGGGAAACAGCAGATCTGACAGCAGGGTGCTCTATGCACAGGGGAGCAGCGGGGAGGCCTGGGCAGGGTGGAAGAGCTGTGTGCCCCTGCACGCAGCTTCAGAGCTGCAGAATGAAGGAACCTTCAAGATGCTAAGATCTCAGGACCATGGTTCAAGGCCAGCCCATAGAAGAAAATCTGTGCGACCCTTCTATCCAATGATGCTGCTAGAGGGAAAGAAAACCCACGGGGAGGGGACAAGGATGGAAGACCTCTGTAAACACACACACACACACACACACACACACACACACACACACACACACACACACTACTTCATCCTGCTACCCATAGCTTTTACCAGTGCCCATCCCCCTCTACCCAGCGGCAGCATGGGGTCCCTTCTGCAGGCTGTAGACAGACCGCAGATGGCATCCTGGCTGGGGATTGTCAGTTTTCAGGATCCATTCTGGGAACAGCCTTAGCCAGGCTTGCAAGACAGAAGATGCTCAGATTTAGGAAACTTCAGGCTCTGAGCCCAACACAGAGCCTCTCAAATGGACGGTACTGGGTTCTACTTTCGCAGACCCGTGGGTCTGTTCGCAGTTGGTATGCCTGGAGCAGAGGGGTGTGGGCTCAGGGGGAGCCTCCGGAAGGGAGGCAGCCAGGAAGGAGGACTGACCAACCATGGCCTCTCTGTACCAATGAAGGGTTCCCATGAGCCCTGGAAGCTTACACATGGTCCTAGGGTCCTCGGGTCACCCTAGCCCACCGCAAAGTACCAGACACGGGACAGAGTGAAAACCCCTCCCTGGAGCGCGGCCTGACCTTCCACGCTGAGTCTCACCTCCCTTCAGTCTGGGAATGCTGTGTGGGTTCAACCCCCAGCAGGTCTCCACGGTGTGTGGCTTCCCAGCCACACAACACAGTGGGCCTCCAGGGGCCGGGGGGCTCAGCCAGGTTTCTCCAGGCATCCCGGGGTGGGCGCAGGGGAGGGGGTGGGGAGACGCCTCTCCCTTCCTCCCTGCAGCCAGGGAAGGCCTCCAGACGAGCCAGCCCAGCCTCTACCCCATCAGCCTCCCTGCTTTTGAAAACTTCCAAAGCAGGAAAACTTTTGTCCCCAAGCTTCTTCCTCTGTGCGGTGGCTGCTGCCACCATGAAAGCCTCTCCATCATCCCCCTCGGGCCTGAAGCTGACTTAAGAAGCCCCCCTCCCCGCCCCCAGCGCGCCTTCGCACCGGGAAAGGAGGGGATCTAGGTGCGGGGAGGGGAAGAAAGGGGGGGGAGATCGGCGCTAATAATGGGGTGGAGGAGGTGGAGGGGGGCGGGGATCGTCTGGGCGAGGAGGAGGAGAGACGACGGATAAAAGAAGCGAGCGCCTCCAAACGCGGGTTCTTGTTCCGGGAAAGAAGGGCCAAGCCTGGCTTTATAGCAGCCGCTTTGAGAGCAGCAGCGCTGGGATTTCATGGCAGAGGTTCGGCGGGAAAATCAATAAGCGAGGCCGCTGTTTGGAGAGGCAGCAAGAAAGGCCACTAACGAGGCCAGATTGTAACAGTTCTGCGAGCAGCCACAATGCTCACCTAACACGGCGCGGCCGGCCGCGTGCTAAATAATAAATC